ATTACCCATCCGTCCCCGGTATCCAGGTTAACCGTCTTAGCCCTAGTAACTAAGGTGTTTTGAGAACTATGGCAAGAAGATAACATAAACTTTCTTGCTCCTCATATTCAGCTGATTCTTCAAGTCAACCTGATCATCCAGTTAAAACTAGTTAAAGCCAGTTCCAGTTCATGTTAAGAGTTATTTCCCCTTTCAATGATGCACTTTGTTTTGTTTCCAAAATTATAATCAGCAGTTTCTCAAAACCATCCTGGCTCTACAGTTTCAAATTCTTTCTGTAAACTGAGGTCAGTTCCAGTTCCTCTCATTTAGAGTTACTTCCCCTTCCAACAAGTTATTTCCCCTTTCAGAGGTGCCCTTTTTTGTAACCAATACAACTTTCTCTTTTTTTAACTAGCCTGAGGCACAAAAGTTTATATACAACTTTCTCTTCCCTCATATTCAGCTAATTCTAAAATCAACATGGCTCTACAGTTTCAATTTCATTTTGCTAGTTGGGGTCAGTTCCAGTTCATCTCATTTAGAGTTATTTCCCCTCCAATGAGTTATTTCCCCTTCCCACGGTGCCGTTTTCAATGTAACCAAGGTGTTTCAGAACTCTGTGGCTAGAGGATAACATGTAAGGTTTCTTGTTCCTCATAACTTATCCCATCTGTACCTACAGTTATTTGCAAACTAAAACCAGTTTTAGTAGCTAATAGTTTGAGTTGTTATATTTTATGTAGAACAGCCAGGTAATCAACAAGCGTGTGTAGTGAAATTTCAATTTTACGCGTGCAACTCTCACACCTGGCTGTTCTACCAGCAAGTGGTCCCCCCTCGTAAAAATAGCAAAAAATGACAACAAAATAATGACCGTTGTTAAACAACTATTTTTTATTCGAGTGTCCAAAATTTTGAGAAAAATCATCAGAGTTGGTCTGTCAATTTCATGTGACTGTGCAAAATGTGGTTTTGTTGCAATTATTAGATTTTGTGTTAGTGAGCAATTCATCGGTCTCAAATGAAATCAAACGGACTGTAGTCTCGATTGGTGCAAACAACAACTCATACACACACATGCCATGGACATTATGGACATGACATGCCCCATTTCCTCTTGACGTTCTTTTAGGTTATTGTGAAGTTAGACTATAATAGTTGAGGGACATCAAATAAAATACTTAAATAAACTTGACTTCCCCAGTCAGTCAGTATATATTTCAGATGAAGATTTAAGTATAAATAGTATTTAGACATGTTAAAATATATAACTGATCACCACATTAGTGTGACAGAAAGAAACAGTTTGACAGATTTCATGATCAGTGCATAGTGGTCCGAAGGTGTGAGTAAAGATAACACTACTGGCTGCCAAACAGTTATGGCCATATTTTAGCAGTATTTACAAAATTACTCCACCATTCGTTAAATAAATGAAACAGAATTACTTATGATACTTAATTAGCTATTCCCTGATGTGTCCAGCCTGTTCACTGCCGCCAATAATGTTTTTATATAACACGGCGGAAGGGAACCATGGCAGTACCGGTACAAATAGGTGTTTTCTCACAACCAGCTGTAACAGTTATCGCCATTCAGAATTTCTCATGTCCTTTGTGAAATAATATGTATTATATCATAAAGTAACCTCGAATAATTGATTGTGTGACTAACTGAGTGGGGATTTTTACAGTAGATTGATAGGGAATGAAACAATTAATGACGAACTTTAATTGTGAACTTGAACTTGCTATTATATAGATCGTGTGACATCACCCCGACTAAGTTGAATTTTTTTATAGGTTTCATAACTTTATCTTTAATTTTTCTCTTATACTACTTACTGTGAAGAATTTTCTTTCGCTGTGCTTTATTGTTGTCAGATACCATGGGAAAAATACCAGAATTTTAACTGACCGGAACTGTGCACTCGTGATACTGATGTATTGCCGACAACTGTGATGCTGCGATAACTGTTCGGCAGCCAGTAATCAGATTCAGATATCAGGATATGCAGCTATGCCAGTGATATCATAATTAATAGGGATATCAAAATTTTATACAAAATTTAATAAAATATATATAATTAGATGGGATTTTGTGGAGAATAAAGCAAAAGTCTATTGTATATTCTCTTGCCAGACATTCAGCTGGGGTTTTACCAATACAACTAAATATATTTCTTGTGTCTTGTTAGTCGAGATATTCAGCTTCCGGATCCGGACTGCTGTGCAAAGGAAACAGAAATAGCTACCCCATCCGGACAATCCCACCAATTAGTAGTGTTGTCAGACAGACGTGTAGTCTTCCCAGGGTTAAGATTCGGTCAGTTTTATTCAGTGAGGTGGGCTTAGCCACATGGTGTCGGAATGGTTTTAGACGTTTCAGAAGCAACATCTTTTTGTGACAGGGTTTTTGTTCGTTAAAGTTACTGTATATAAATCCATGGTTTTCTTTTGGGTACATCATCATGTTTTTTTGTTTTTTTTAACTTTTCCTGTTATGGAGAATTAAGTTGTCTTTTATTCTGTGTCTGTTTGACATTGTTAATGGTCTTATCCCTGTCACTGTCCACTGTCTCCCATCTGGTACTGTGTTATTTCACTCTTACTTCTCTACTACATCAGTATATCATTGTCTCCTCTCTGTTAGATCAGTATATCATTGTCTCCTCTCTGTTAGATCAGTATATCATTGTCTCCTCTCTGTTAGATCAGTATATCATTGTCTCCTCTCTGTTAGATCAGTATATCATTGTCTCATTGTCTCCTCTCTGTTAGATCAGTATATCATTGTCTCCTCTCTGTTAGATCAGTATATCATTGTCTCCTCTCTGTTAGATCAGTATATCATTGTCTCCTCTCTGTTAGATCAGTATATCATTGTCTCCTCTCTGTTAGATCAGTATATCATTGTCTCCTCTCTGTTAGATCAGTATATCATTGTCTCCTCTCTGTTAGATCAGTATGTCATTGTCTCCTCTCTGTTAGATCAGTATATCATTGTCTCCTCTCTGTTAGATCAGTATGTCATTGTCTCAACCATTCTCTCTCTGTTAGATCAGTATATCATTGTCTCCTCTCTGTTTAGATCAGTATATCATTGTCTCCTCTCTGTTAGATCAGTATGTCAGTATGTCATTGTCTCCTCTCTGTTAGATCAGATCATTGTCTCTCTCTGTTAGATCAGTATGTCATTGTCTCCTCTCTGTTAGATAGTATATCATTGTCTCCTCTCTGTTAGATCAGTATGTCATTGTCTCCTCTCTGTTAGATCAGTATATCATTGTCTCCTCTCTGATAGATCAGTATGCCATTGTCTCTCTCTCTGTTAGTTCTGTTAGATCAGTATCCTCTCATATATCATTGTCTCCTCTCTGTTAGATCAGTATATCATTGTCTCCTCTCTCTGTTAGATCAGTATATCATTGTCTCCTCTCTGTTAGATCAGTATATCATTGTGTCTCCTCTCTGTTAGATCAGTATATCATTGTCTCCTCTCTGTTAGATCAGTATATCATTGTCTCCTCTCTGTTAGATCAGTATATCATTGTCTCCTCTCTGTTAGATCAGTATATCATTGTCTCCTCTCTGTTAGATCAGTATATCATTGTCTCCTCTCTGTTAGATCAGTATATCATTGTCTCCTCTCTGTTAGATCAGTATATCATTGTCTCCTCTCTGTTAGATCATAACATTGTCTCCTCTCTGTTAGATCAGTATATCATTGTCTCTCTCTCCTCTCTGTTAGATCAGTATATCATTGTCTCCTCTCTGTTAGATCAGTATATCATTGTCTCCTCTCTGTTAGATCAGTATATCATTGTCTCCTCTCTGTTAGATCAGTATATCATTGTCTCTTCTCTGTGAGATCAGTATATCATTGTCTCCTCTCTGTTAGATCAATTTACCATTGTCTCCACCTCTTTGTTACAGTAATATACCATTTCTGCCTCACTGTTACAATATATCATTATCTTCTCTTTGTTACTGCAATATATCATTTTCTCCTCCCTGTTACAACAATATGCCATTATCAGTACCCAGACCAGTAATCCCATATTAACCTAGATTGGATCCTTCGACTGTCCACCATGGACCTGTCTGTAGGTCTTGTACAGGTGGTAAATCACTACATCTGGCATCACTTGGATGTTTCTTTTGCAATAAGTGATATTTCCAAAATACTGTTTTGATTGGCATGAAATGCAATCAGAGTCTTACTCAATCGATCGATCAGTCAATCCATCAATCAATTTCCTTTCTGAGTAATCATCTGGAAAAACATTTTCCCACAGGAATGTGCACATCTGGTTTTCAAACTCACTCACTCACTCACTCACTCACTCACTCACTCACAATATTAATGTATTCCTTTCTTTTGAAAACTACCTAGCTTAACACATGAACAGCGCTAAATGTGGCCTGTTGTGACGTTGGAGGAGATCGTCTCCCTGGTGTAGTGGGTAGAACGTCTGCCTGGAGAGCAGAAGGTAGCAGGTTCGATCCCGGGACTCGTCATTCCTAAAGACGTTAAAATATGGTACTTGTTGGTCCCTGCCTGGTGCTCGGCATTAATGGTACAAGAACTGGTCGGCTCGGAGTCAGTAAAATGTGTCTGAGTGGGGTATTCATGCTTAACTCCGGCATGGTATCTCAGTGAGCTTGCACTATAAAACCAGCTTAAGTCTGGGCTGGTACAAGCAGCCACACATACACACAAATAGCGATATATTCTTAAGTGCGACGTTAAACCCCATTTCACCTCATCTCATTGGAGGAAAGGGGCAGTGGTGTAGCCTAGTGGTTAAAGTGTTCGCTCGTCACGCTGAAGACCCGGGTTCAATTCCCGAGAGGGGCTCAATGTGCGAAGCCCATTTCTGGTGTCTCCCGCCGTGATATTGCTGGAATATTGCTAAAAGAGGCGTAAAACTAAATTCACTCATTGGAGGAACATGGTGTAAATCACTCCTCAATCACTCACTCACTCACTCACTCACTTTCTCTTCTCTGTTACAGCAACTAGTACGACAGAGCTCTGTCTCATCACTCCAGGAGGAGCAGCAAGGCTCCATCAACCTCAGCATGGAATACAACAAGGAGACGTCAATACTCACAGTACATATGATACAAGCAAGGGACCTCGTACCGAGGGATTTCAGCGGCACCGCCGACCCGTATTGCAAAGTTTCGTTACTTCCCGAACAAAGGAGTATATTACAAAGCAAGATTCACAGGAAAACAGTCAACCCCGAATTTGAAGAGGAGTTTGTTTTCGAGGTGTCCTCGCATAAGTTAGCCGTGACAACTCTGGAGGTGCTATTGTTTGATTATGACCAGTTCTCACGGGATGAGTGTATCGGACAAGTGCATGTGCCACTGGAGTTGGTAGATCTCAGTGAAAAGGTTATATTGTGGAAGGGGATCGTACCGTGTGAGAAAAAAGATGTAAGTAACGATGACTATTTCGTATAATTTTCGTGTCCTTGAGATATGTGTGCTTTTTTTTTGCTTGCATGGTTTGAATATTTTTTATCATGACCAGATCGATGGCTTCATCCCTTGGTCATACCAAGAGATATACTGAGGGAAACAAATTAGGGAACAGCACTTTATGCAGTGTTCCTTACTTATCAGATTTCCTCCCATAGCACTATTCAAAGCTGGTGTTGAAAACTGGAAAATATTAAAGGAAAGCTTGAATTTTCCTGTGTTCCTTTATTTGTTTCTCTCAGTATATTAAAAGATGGTGCTTGTTGTTACCTTGCCTTGCATTTGGCTTTAAGGAATAAAATGAAAGATTATTCAGAATCATTAGATGCATGACATTTCAGTGGTCCTATGATCCCCCCAAAATTATTTAATGCTCTGCAGAAGTATATGCAGCAACACAGCCAGTGAAGATCCGGGTTAGAACTGATCTTCAGTAACCCATGCTTGTCATAAGAGGCGACTAACAGGATCAAGTAGTCATGCTTGCTGACTTGGTTGACACATGTCATCGTATCCCAATTGTGTAGATTGATGCTCATGCTGTTGATCACTGGATTGTTAGGTCCAGACTAGATTATTGACTGACCACTGCCATATAGCTGGAATATTGCTGAGTGTGGCGTTAAACAACAAACAAACACGCAGCTACACACTTGTGTAAGCAAGCTGCAACATAGGTGCAGTAACCTTGACGACCCCTACGTTTTAGGAGCTGCAGCAATTTCATGGGAGGCACACGAGGCATCGTCAGTGGTATTTATAACAAATTCTGAAGAACATGTGTCTCCTTAAACAAGATGTGTTCAAGATGAAAACAATCAATTGTACACCCCAACACTTACAGAGCATGTGGAATGGTTCGCCTGCTGAGCTGAGCCTTATGTAGAAGGGAACAACCTCGTAACGTTACATTACATAACAGTAATGGGGCAGAGGCACTGCAGGTGCTTGGGCCAATATTTTTAAAGGAGGGAGGGTTACAAGGTTGTTCTACTTAAAACACATCCCTGCTCTCACAGTCTGGCACACATTCCAAAGACTCTGTGGATTGTGGTTAAGATTAGGTCATGAAGGAGCTTGGAATTGCCCAAGAGGACTCAACATATTCCTGAAAAATTATGGATTATTCAAAAACATAATGATGTCACAGATATGTTTTGATGTGAGGTGTATTTGTGTGAGGGTTCTGATGGAGTGAGATTAAGTCACTTTTATAGGGTCCCATTCCATGTCCAACCTAGGTTCAGGCATAAGACATCGTCACTTCTAGCTTTCTTCCCATATCAGGCCGTAACGTAACTTGAAAAACTGTTTGAAAAAGGTGTTAAATATATTTCACTCAGTCCTATCGAGAATTTTAAGTCTCTTTGTCTTAAACTATGATTCATATTCATAATCCACTGTCCCGTGGATTTCGAAGTTTGGGAGGTTTACTCATGAAATCAAATATTCATGATCAGCTTTTTCATTTTTGGAGGTATATATATTTACACTGTTTCATGTTTAACTGTGTTTACTGTAAGGGAGACTTTGGGATAGCCTAGCTGTTAGAGCCTGTCACGCCGAAGACCTGGGTTCGATTCCTCACATGGGCACAATGTGTGAAGCCCATTACTGGTGTCCCCTGCCGTGATATTGCACTCCACGCATTTAGCCGACAGTGGGTTCTGTCCTGACTTTATTCCTTCCATAGGGACATGAAAAGTACACAGAATTTGGAATGTTTATCAGTTTCTTCACAATAATGGATGATTGAAAATTACAGAAAAATTAATAAAAGAAAACTGTTCTTTTAATAAATGTCCTCATAAATTTAATAAAACAGAGAAGAAAATATTCCTATGTCTATAATCTAAAAGTTGTGTTTGATCTGGCAACATCTCCTTTGACAATACCCCATATCATTTCAATGGGGTTAAAGGTCACAGTGATGGGGTGGAAGTCATAAGAACATCGTGACCCTTACCTTTTATGTAACTGTCAACTTTGTAGAAAGGTTCACCTTTGTGGGTTTTATGATCTCATATAGCTGAGGCTTCGTTGCCTTTGAAGGCGTCGCGATCTGAAATTTGTCGAGCCATGATATCATATCACCTTTTTAGACTGTTAGATGTCGAGGCTTTACTGTCGGGTCCTGCATGCTGTGGTATGGGGCATTGTCCATTACGATAAAAGACTTCTCTGGTAGAGCTGGTACCAACTTGTTTTAACCCAATCGAGGGAAAACCGCCGCCATTCATCTCGAATGGTAGTCTCTGTTATCTGTGGACTTTGCCCTGAATACCAAGTCGCAGCCTGGGAGAAAGCCTTTGCTGGAGCAACCAGCATGGAGAATGATTACTCTCTCCTAGAGGCAGCTTTCTCGTGATTCCCTTATCACCTCCATCGGTACCCACTGACTGCTGGCATTGTCGCGAGGCATTGACCCAGGTCTCATCCAAGTACACTGGCTCGAACCCTTCCTCAGCTTCTTCTTTATAACCCTGAGAAAATTATTTCTCAAGTTGAGCGATATCAGGGCATTCACAGAGTACTGACCTATTCTCCCGAAATTTTTCTTATAGCGATACTTGAAGAATGTAAAATTAAGCCAGAGTGTGTACTTTGATACTCTGAGGTTGTGTTCTTGCTTCAAATGCTTTTTAAAATTTTCAGCGACATGTATTTGTTTTCAGAATAGAGAGCTTGTTGATAGACTGCCTTACAAGGTTCTTTTGAAAGTTGTCCAAATGTTTTAATTTGTGTGATTTTGATACGACCCTACCTGCTTCGCATCACCCTCACAATGTTTGTGTTGAGAACATTTGTCAGTACCCTTGTTGATACTCCTAAAAGCTTTGCTGCCAGTACGAATTTATTAATGGCATAAAATGGTTTTGCCCTTCGAGCTTCAAAGTAACGGAAAAAATCATTACACTTTAATCATCAACTGTTTCAGTCAGCATTCAACTTCATTTTCATCAGGCATGTGTATCCCGTGCACGACGAGATAGTGGCTGTTCCATTTCTGCGGTTTCACCCCGCCGCGACAGATAACAACTTTTGTGTTTTCAATGATGATAGTTTCTTGAACAACTTTTTTGGTGGAGTCCGGAAAATTTTCAAATATAAGAAAGCTGTTGGGTATTAGTAAATGATAAACATGTGTACTATTCATATTTATGTGGCAATTTTGTACAATGATAAAATTTGCATTTCATCGGTCCGTTTCTGACTCAAACAGACTGTAGAAGCAGTGAACAAAGGCTTATTTTGTCTCTAACAAAATTCTTCCTCCTCTTCCCATTCAAATTTGATGGTCCGTGGTTAAATAATTTGACATCGCAATATTCATCAGATCTTTTCTCGGACAAAACAGTGACTGACCAATAAGATGTTTGCCCTTGACCAGGAAATATACTTCTGTATAATGATATGCTTGTTTCCACATCAACGTGTTACATGGATACCACTAATGTCCATGATCTCACAGACCATTCTTGTTGGTGGTGTATATATATATCTATAATGATATGCTTGTTTCCACAGCAACATGTTACATGGGATACCACTAATGGCCATGTTCTCACAGACCATTCTTGTTGGTGGTGTATATATCTATAATGATATGCTTGTTTCCACAGCAACATGTTACATGGATACCACTAATGGCCATGATCTCACAGACCATTCTTGTTGGTTATGTGTATATCTTTCTATAATGATATGCTTGTTTCCACAGCAACATGCTATAGGAGATCTGATGTTCTCGCTGTGTTATTTGCCCAGCGCCGAGAGACTTACCATAGTTGTTACCAAAGCCAGGAATCTCAGGCACTCAGAGGAAGGGAAGATAACTCTAGGTAAGTTCCAATAGCCGTGGAGGTAGCCAAGTGGTTAGAATGTTTGACATCATGCTGAACTTGCAGTTTTAATTAAATCCTTCATGAGTGGAATGTGTGAAGCTATTTCGGGTATCTCAATATATAGTGCTGTAACGATGCATCAAACTATCGATGTATCGCAATTGTTGAGTCTCCGATAGCAATTAATCGATGGTAGAACCGAAAAAATATCAATGCATTGATAGTATGTTTGACTCTCGATAGTTTAGTAATTGACTTCGGTTGATAAATGCACAGCACAAAATACAGGAAGTACCAGATTCAGTCACTTTGATTAGAGTTATCTGCCCCTGTTACTTCTTAAACAAACATGGCGGAAAACACGGCATGTGACTCGGAGTTGTGAATAACATTAAGTTTCTTGTCAGTTATTAAAAGAACTACTTCAACTTGTTTTTATTTCATATAAACTATACATTCATTTGGGAAATGACTTCAAATGAGACAATACAAGGAGAAAAAACACTACTGCAATAGTATTGAATAGTTGGTCGCAATAGACTATCACTATCGTAGTACATATGTCGCCGCAACAGACTATCACTATCGCAATAGTTGTTTCCCCCTCAATAGTCAGCCCTGTCAATATATTTGCTGCAATATTGTTAAATCTGGCGTTAAACTATACTTAGCATGAGATCAGTATAAAATTGATTAATCTTGGTTCTTGGTGTTATTTTCCTTGACAGCATGGCATGTTCTCTTAATATCAACCACAGGTTTGACTCAACTGTTTATAGACTCTATGTTAATGCTAATTACAGCCAGAAACAACAAACAAACCATTAGTCATTTAGAAGTGATTTTGTTTAGAAATTAATTTGTAGCGACCATAAAATTTCTGAGTCCTGTGCTGGGATTCAAACCACGAAACCTTCTATTCCGAAGTCGGACGCCTTGTCCACATGATCAAAGAGGTTTAACCCTGGCCAGCAAGCTGATGTAAGGTAAGGATGTCATCTGTGGGATGACTCCACTCTGCTGTGGGATGAAATGCATATTCAATTCATTAAGTGAATCAAGAGAAGATCTGGGTTATGCTTGGTATTAGGGGTTGGCATCTGGGTTAGGTTATCAGGCTTACCAAGATGGCTGGTGTATGTGGACTTGGGGGCACGGTGGGCAAGCGATCTAAGGCGCCAGGCTAGTGATCCAGTGAGTTTGAGGTGCGAGGATCAAGCCCACCCGTAACTGGGTGTAAAAACCTTGGAGTCAAGTTTGTGTGCAGACTCTTTCAGTGTTGTCACAACCCCTAGTGTACAGTACACAACCCTGTGCACTTAAAAGAACCCACGAATCCGTTGATAAATGACCAGATGGTGGCCACATGAATACATGCAAACACCTAGTTGCGGGTACAGCTACGTGCAGTAAACTTGGACAAAGTACTGTGACTATGTGTCCCAGTCCACCCAGCTGTGAATGGGTATCTCGTAAAAATGGGAAGCCCATGACCTCGGTGCACCTAAATGGCTGCAAGAGTTGTATGATCCCAGGGAGTTGAGATTGAAAAATATGATGTGCCGTTGAGATTGACATCCAATGATCGAGGGAAAAACAAAGCGCCTTTGAGCAGCTGAGCTGGGCTGGATATATTGGCGTTATACAAATATATATATCATTGTAGCCCAGTTGAGTTGACTGATGCTCATGACATCAATCACTTGGGGGTGGTGGGGTAGCCTAGTGGTTAAAGCATTCCTTTATCATGCTGAAGACCCGGGTTCGAGTCCCCACCTGGGTACATTGTGTGAAGCCCATTGTGTCCTCCGCCGTGATAATTTGCTGGAATATTGCTAAAAGCAAACGCTATAACCACTAGCTACCCTACCGCCCCTTTTTCAGGTCAGTGTCAGGTATTTGAAGTTGTAATCCATGCACTGACATTTGACCATGGAAATTACAATGTTTCATAACATCCATCCACCATTCCCTCCCTCCCCAAAACAGTTATATCACGATGAAATTATGAATGAGTGAGTGAGTTTGGTTTACGCCGCTTTTAGCAATATTCCAGCAACATCACGGCAGGGAACACCAGAAATAGGCTTCACACATTGTACCCATGTAGGGATTCGAACCCGGGTCTTCGGCATGACGAGCCAACGCTTTAACCACTAGGCTACCCCACCGCCCGAAATTATGAATGAAAGCTTCAAACCTCTTTCGATAGTCATAGGACACCTCTGCTAAAGGCAAAGTCATTTGTAAGAGTGTGACACATTCAATTTGTTTATGAATCACTATCAAACAGTAATGATGCCTCGTGTTTGTGAAAAGTTGTACCTGTCATAAACACATGCAAGGGCAAGTCAATTGTTCACTAGAAAATAACTGGGACCATGTTGTACATATCATGGAATAATAATTCATACGAAAAATTCATTACAAATTATTATCACTACAAGTGATATATTAGGATTCAGATATTAGGAAAAAATTAATAAAGAATATTAGTTTCATCATGATCAGTAACAGCTTAGAGAAAGACACCAGTTTAAAGTAACAAAACTTCATTTCACAGACATACTATTCAAAAAGGTATAGACCGCCTCTGTGGTGTAGTGGTTAGAGCGTCCGCCCGAGAGCGGAAGGTCGCGGGTTCGATCCCGACCGCGTCATACCAAAAGACGTTAAAATATGGTACTTGTTGGTCCCTGCCTGGCGTTCGGCATTAATGGGTACAACAAGGACTGGTGGGCTCGGAGTCAGTATAATGTGTCTGAGTGGGGTATTCATGCTTCACTGCGGCATGGTATCTCAGTGGGCTAGCACTATAAAACCAGCTTAAGTCTGGGCTAGTACAAGCAGCCACACATACACATACACATGCATGCACGTCGTCATATGAGCAAAATATTCTCAAGCAATATATTAGGATTCAGAAGTTAGGAAAATATTAATAAAGAATATTAGTATGAATTATTATGATAAACACATCACAATAATGATGCCAAATATTAGTAAGTACCTCTGATCAAATAAACTTTTGAGCAAAAGTAGCACCTATTTTAGTTTTTAAAAAATCCTTAAAACATCAAGCAAATGCAATTTCTATCACATTATAGTGATGGACTTGTCACACCATGATAATACCAACAGTGAGACAAAAGATACATGTGATAGGTTTTCAGTTATCATTTCCACAATAGATTACTTTTTGCATTGGTTCTTAATATGTTTTGAAGATAATTTGGTAAGAAAGAGCATGGAAACAAAATGATGTTTATGTATCCAAATACTAAATACAATTAAATAAGAGTTTGAACTTAAGAAATATTGCTTTAACATAACTGAAACTAACATGCATGAACTATTATTAACGGGTCTGGTCTCACTTCATTTGGTCCTGTAAATAATTACTTCAATCTAAATTTCTGTGTTGTTCTGTGGTCAAATTTTCAAATTTGCACTAAAAAAACAATGTTTCAAATTTTCACATTTTCTGGTAAAAGACAGTGGTTTTATCATTATCATTGCACTAAATGTATTGTAAAGTCTTGGATAGACAAGAAAATTAACTCTTTTCACCCAGTGATGACATATGTGTTCTAAACATCTTCACAGTGACATCTTTTGTTCCTTTTTAACTTTTTGTAAATGTGTTATCTAATAATTCTTAAAATATATATTATCACAAATGTGAAGGTCAGTTTCATTATGTTTCATCTGATGTGTCAGTTGTGAATAATAACGTGTTCCCAACACATGCTTCAGACCCTGGACGATGACTCAGTGATTGAGTGGCAGATATAAGCACCATGAAATTAACAACATGACATTACATTGAAACGATAATAAGGTGTTATCTGAGAATACACGTCACATTAAGAAAAAATGTAATTGTTTCATTTTTTTTTTTGAACAAAATTATAAAGTTGTTTTTATATCAGTATGAGACTTGTGGTAAATATGTAACATTTTATTGAAAAATATTGTTTTGGGAGTAGTAAAATATATGGCATTTGACTGGTTTGGTGCATGAAAATATAAAGGGTCTGGTCCCAATTTCTGGAAACAAACTTAAGTTTTTACTCAAATTTCAAACTGAGTATGACAATTTGAAACAGCTGAATTTTTAGCTCAACCGCATTTTTTTAATAAAAATGCCTAAACAACTTAAATAATCTATCCACCAAACTCAAATTATCGACTTATAATGTTTGAGTTTAATATTGATTTCAGTTCATTCTGGGAAATGCATTTCCTGTGTTTTCTCAGATTTCAGTAAAAACTTTAAATTAAGACTGAAGTTTGTTTCGAGAAGTCGGGGTCTGATCTCACTGCAGCAGGTGCTATAAATAATAACTCTAATTTAAAATTCTGTTTTGTTCCTAATTTCAAATTTGCAAATTTGCACTAAAAACAGTGTTTCCAATTAGAATTCAGTCGATGTCACATATGCTTTTTAGGCCATTTTATTATAGTAATGCTATGTTTTTCTTTACTAAATAAAACAACCTTGTAGTTCTGAAAATCTATGTAGTTTGAAATCTTTTAAGTTTTTGATGAGGGACATTGTATATGAGAACCGTTGGATAGCCCAGCCGGTAATTTAGAGTTTAACTTTTCACACCAAAGACCTGAGTTCTTGCGTACAATTTGTGAAGTCAGTTTCTGTTTTTCCTGATCTATATTACTGAAATATTTTACCCATCAAACGTTTAGACTCACTAGTGTAAATGTAACCACTTACTTCAGTCAACTGATCTAAACTAGATTTTGTAAAATATTCTATACAGTTTAAGGGTACTGTTTACACATGAACTGATGTATTGTAAAACAAATTCGTAACGTTGAAAAGATTACCGTCATGAGTTCAATAAATGATGAAACTTGGTGAATTCTTAACAAAACTTCTACACCAAAACGCAGCTGTTCACATGCATGATATTTGCACATGCTTTTCAGCAAGTTAATGCATGATCACCATACAATTCATCTGCATAAGGTTTGCAGTTGGTTCCCCCAAGTTAGTAGAGAAATTCATCCTCGATGTACCGGTAACCACATATATATACATAACATATAGCAAGTGCTTTAAGTGAGCATAAAATTTGGATGGGTAGTATATTTCCAGACCAAATTCACTCTTAGTGAGTCTCAACTCTCACAATAATATTCACATTAAACTTCTAATGTCATTATTTGCAGATGGTGTCAGTTTCGTGTTCAATACATGTCCTTTTATAGCCACCACTTGAGATATTTCTAGAGACTATATGTTCACTAATTGACAGATAATATGAGTTATGATAAATATTGGATTATCAATGTCAGGTTATTTAGATTTGGAACAACCTTGTCAAGATCAATGTCTTGTGCAAAAAAATGAAGGTTTTGCCTTGAGGATACGTCTTTTAAATATCCCTTTGATCATTCCTTTGTTATACTTATCAATATGGATGTTTGTTTGTAAATAGGATATTCCTCAGTCAAATATTCACATGGTTCTTGTTCTTGGACACTGGAGCTACAAAAGTACACTTAAAATAATTCATGTCAGCCATCAGTCTGTCTCATAGCCCTGAACTAGTGGTGTTCCGATCATCGCAAATAATCGAAAATCGAAGAAAGATTAAAAATAATTATCGATTGTAAAAAACATATTTTCGATTAATCAGAATTTTATTGTTTTAGTATAACACACTTGAATGAAGTAAACTAACCAATAAATTTGATGAATAATCACAAACAAACACGCTCAACAGCGTAAAGCTGTGCACATTGTATTCATAGTTTCGTATTCATCACTACGGTAAATATTACTGTAACCTGTCTATGAATATATTTTACATCTATCGTGAACATAATGAGATATACTGATAAATAATTTAGATGTGAAAATATATTAGAAAAAAGCTGGGGGAAATCCCTTAAAATTGGTGATTACTTTAAAAATGTATATATTTCGATTATAATCGATAATGGTTCACCACAAGTCCTCCGATAATCGATAGTGGGTTTGGTTTCTGATTCCTTGAACCACATTTTTTTTCCTTCCGCCCAGCTGTTTCTGGAATGGTAAAGCCCCAAATGATGCTATGACAGTCTGAAAGTTTCCTGGAACATTCAGCATCAAGACCTGGGCCTAGATTTTCGAAGCTCTCTTAGCACTAAGACAGTCGTAAGTGCCATTCATTAACATTAACTTACGACTATCTTAGCACTAAGAGAGCTTCGAAAATCTATGCACTGGGTTTGATTCCCACAGAAGCAATACATGAAGTCCTTTGTCTGGCCGTCCCTGCAATGCTAAAGTCCTTAATGAAGCAAGTCTAGATTTCCTCAGGGTCAGGATCTCCATCTCACTGGTGCTCCTTTTCAATTTAAAAAGAATTGTTTGTCACTATCAAACAAATATCTTCAGAGACTAAGCGTTAGTCTAGTCAGCAATGACAGTTCCTATTCCACCTAATGAGAAGGTGATCCCTTCAACTTTGACACAGTGGTGTCTGGCTGTGTTTTGTCCATGAAAGTATGTGAAAGCTAATGCTGCTGAAGCTACTGGGGGCGGTGTGGTAGCCTAGTGGTTAAAGCGTTGACTCGTCATGCCAAAGACCCGGGTTCGAATCCCCACATGGGTACAATGTGTGAAGCCCATTTCTGGTGTCCCCCGCCGTGATATTGCTGAAATATTGCTAAAAGCGGCGTAAATCCAAACTCAGTCAGTGAAGCTATTGATCTTTGTTCACCATGTTCATGACATTCCCAAACCTGTGAAGATCCGGGTTAGAATTGGTCTTCAGCAACCCATGCTTGTCGTAAGAGGTGACTAACAGGATCAAGTGGTCAAGCTCGCTGACCTGGTTGACACATGGCATCATTTCCCAGTTGCATAGATCGATGCTCATGTTGTTGATCACTGGATTGTCTGGTCCAGACTCGATTATTTTAAGACCAACAACATGTAGCTGGAATATTGCTGAGTACGGTGTTAACAAACCATCCAACCAATCATGACCCTTCTCACAAATTAGATTTTCATCCTCGCCCACCTCTTTTATACCAAACAACTATCTCATAAACCATTTTTCTCCAGATGCATGAACAAAAGGAAATTCTTGTTCACATTTCCATTGGTTTTGTTTGGTGAAATACAGTGTACATGTGACATTCAGGCTTGATATGAATCACCTCCATCTGCAGTTAATGTACACAGATGCCTTGAAGAGATTGTTAAAAGAATATATGTGAAAGAAGTATGTACCTCCTGATTAAAAGTAAAAAGTAATTGGTGGTGGCATGTGGTAGCATGTGGTGCTGTGTGTAGAGCTCAGGTCACAAATCAGTTGAAGTTAAGCAATGTTGGGCATGGAGAGTCCTTGGATGGGTGACCGTGTTTGGTAGCTTGACTCCTGAGAGTTTCTAGGACTTCAGTCCTGTCCCCCTAGGACCACAACGAAGCACATGTGATACATTGTGGTCTCACCTTATTCAAGTGAGTTTGTTCAACCATGCCTCTGTTCACCCAGCTAAGAAATGGGTACCCGGTGGGATAAGTCATGGGACTATAACCTTCTAGCGCCTCACAGGCAGCTTGGGTTATATGGGGTAATAATGTGCTGTGCAAGCACTTTTAGCAGACATTTAGTTCCTGGAGTATTTAGTGCTATAAATATACACTCATTATTATGAAGTAATTTAGTTTTAGTAGTAAGTGGTAATTTCATGGATTGGGTGGTCAACCTGTGTTATTTGGTTAATTGTGTGTCGTCTTACCTTGATGGTTGGGATCAGTATTCACAATCACTGGATTGTCTGGTGCAGTTTAGATTTATTTGCTATGATTCATTGTCTATGTACTGTTGTTGTCATGTGTTCAACAGCAAGCAAACAAACAAACATCACGATGATGATTACCATTAATATTATGTGTGCGAAATAGCCACTGACCTGCTAGCCCGTGGCTAGTAACAATCCAGTCGGGCCAGTAAATCTCCACAGTCACTGGCCCGACTGGCTAGTGAATTTTCATGGGGACATTTTGTAAATATATCACTCTCTCCGACTTGTTAAGTTATAATACACTTTTAAATCATGCAAGATTATGGCCTGATAAAAATGTTCATCATATTAGCAGCTTAATGATGAAACCCGTGTCCACTTTCAAAGTTAGTGAAATATTTTGTGGGCTAGTTAAACTTTCAGCCGTAGCTAGCCCGAATGGGTAGCAAAATTTGGAAACTATTTCGCACACTGAGACAGACTGATAGGGAATTTCACTCTTTGTTTATTTATAAACACTCTGGTATTTTTATTTTTATCAACAATTCTTGATATATTTCAGCTAAGAAGACACTTGGTGAGATTCTGTTGATCATCCAAATTCCTTCTTCCGCCTTGTTCTGCTTGTAAACAGTATTAATCGGTTTCATGACTAGACAAATAGAACTAACCAGCTTTAGTGGCATAGAGCACAGTGATGTCATTTGATTGTGACATCATGGTTACTAATGACATCACAATGGTCCCAATCTCATTGCAGTGATGTGTCCTAGGAGAATATGCTTTTTTTATATGGTGAAACATAACCAGTGTCATTTATATAATATGTGCACATATCACTTTTGCCTAGTAACCATTGTTTCTGTATTTCGTTGTCTGTGACGTCATGAAACATTTGAACGTGACACATTCGTTCGAACAATACAAAATTTGACATTTGTTTCCTTTAAGTCGAATGACACGCTTACTCATGTAATAATCTCTATATCTCACCCAAGCGATATCTCCTGTGGATGATAAACAGTTTCACCCTCATGTCTTTTGAAATGTAATATAACAATAGAAAGTTTATACAATTTAGAAGCTCTGACTCTGTCAAAGGAATTTTAAACTTATCGACAAGCAATGATATGTTTGATATCACAAGACACAGAGGTGAGATTCTATTTATCATTCAGGATCATTCTTCCAGCTTTTCGTAGCTAGTACACAGTAATTAGCATTGCCTTGAGTGTAATCAGTGTACCTAACCAACTTCGGTGTCCTTCCGGGAAAGCCATATTTGAAAAAAGACAATTGCCGCTAAAACCACATTTCAAGTACAAACCAGACCGCCTCAGTGGTGTAGTGGTAAGAGCGTCCGCCCGGAGTGCGGAAGGTCGCAGGTTCGATCCCCGACCGCGTCATACCAAAAGACGTTAAAATATGGTACTTGTTGGTCCCTGCCTGGCGTTCGGCATTAATGGGTACAACAAGGACTGGTCGGCTCGGAGTCAGTATAATGTGTCTGAGTGGGGTATTCATGCTTCACTGCGGCATGGTATCTCAGTGGGCTAGCACTATAAAACCAGCTTCAGTCTGGGCTAGTACAAGCAGCCACACATACACATACACTCACATGCACGTCGTCATATGAGCGAAATATTCTCAAGCACGACGTTAAACCCAATTCCACCACCACCACTCAAGTACAAACCTCGGTGCCACGAATCGCCGTGAAAGCCACAATGAGTAAGGGAATCAATTCCCTTTTTTTTTCAAATAAGCATCAACCATTGATCACAATGGATTAAAATTGTTTTAGTGATTGTCCTTTGTTTGTTTAGTTAACATTTGATGGGCGGCTTCTTTATTCTTGTTAAAGTTTTTAGTTAACATATGGTAACATATGTTCTGAGATAAAATGATACATGATAATGGGTCATTCTATGGAAAAGGGCAATTTCAGCTTTTGCTCTTAAGAAAATTGTGTTTGTACTTTTGTATTTTTTATGTTTTCATGTAAACTACTTTTGTTTGTATGATTGGTATATTGTATCAGCAGAGAAGAATTCGCTAAATTTCACCCATATCTTCAGTGGAGGTTAAATTTTGAATGGAAAGTAGCTGAGAAATTAGTGATGTCATTTGATTGTGACATCATCATTACCGATGACATCACAGTGGTGCCAAGCATGCATTTTCATTGCAACAATATCCCCTCAGAGAGATTGCTAAATTTCACCCATATCTTTGGTGAAGGTTAATTTTGAGTGAAAAGTAGCTATCTATATATTCATCTCTGTTACCATATTGCAATATATTTGTTTACTGTGTCTCTTAAGTTTCAAAGTCACACAAATATATTCAATCATTTTCATGTAAATGAGCCCCTTGCATGATGTTCTTCCATGTACATATATTACGAAGTAAACACACTGTGTACATCTCAGGGGAATGTAAACCCGCATGTCTGCTCTGCAACAGAGTAATTTGTTACGTAGCTTGTCAAACTTGTCGTAAAATCATGATTAGTATTTTTCTTTGACATTATCCTATTATCAGGAGGGACTAAAACCACTTTGAAGATTCTTCATAAAAAAGGTTAATAATATTCTACATTCCACTTGGGGGTAATACAGTCTTGATGTATTTGATGTATTCTTGATTATCTCATAAGAGGCGGACATAAAGTCAGGCAGTATATTATTCCGAGGGAAATTACAATATTAAAATGTTTGTTCGGTAAATGAGTGCAGTTTATGACGCCATGATTAATTCGCCTTTCTTGAAATAATAAAATTACTGTTTGTGAATCATGTTCACAGAAAATTACTGTTTGAAGAAAATGAGTTTGATCGGTAATTTTCGAACGGGCTGTCCAATGGATCCTGCTCGTTCCACACATCAAAGAAATGGGAAGAGATACATTTGGCTGTTAATGGTGGCATTATGACAAAATCTGCTGATGATGCAGATTTCATAGCAGTTTGTAAAGTTGGTAAATCAGTTTGGAATGATGTATTTTTGATGTGTTTTTACAAAAGTTTTTGACACAAAAAATAATGGAGTATGAAACGTTTGTTTGGGCTGTCTTGAAATGTCAAATTTCGATGTTATGTAAAAGTCTTTGAAATTCAGATGTGTTTATGTGTTTGACTTTTTCTCTTTTTGTCTTGCAACTTTTGAACATACAAAGTTGCCACATAAGACAGAAGTGATTGACTGAAAATTAAGGAGTATGAGGTTTCAACAGATGTAAAATATTGCATCTGATGCACTTATAAACTCTTGCTGGATGGACAAAAGAAGACTTTGCAAGTTGGAGGGATGCAAAAACATTTAGCAGCTGTAGCTTAAATTTAAAAAATCACAAATATCCAGAGATGCCAACCTTTACGATTTGATCGTAGTCGCTACGAATTCTGGCCTCAAACTACGCCAATATGATTGCACTAGAAATTCTACGAAATTTTAAGAAAATTCATTAAAATTCGGATATATAGACAAAAACATATGTTCGGCGATTAGATACATTTTCGCCAAAAAGAGACGACAAAAAGATATGTAATGATGATAATTAGGAAATCCGCTGTTGGAGGTATGTGGAATTAAAGCTTCACTCTTGATTAGTGTCATATCATCTTTCTCAGAACCCATCATGATTTTAAGTATTTAGTTGACTACTAATTTTATGGTCAAACTACTAATTTTGATCCTTGAAACTACTATTTGCAACACTTTGAGGTTGGCATCTCTGAATGTCGAATGAAGATGATATATTGGTCCAGGGCCCCGTTCCTCAAAGCGATCATAGCGCTAAGATGATTGTAACTCCCATACTTTAACATAGGCTTACGACTGTCGTAGCGCTACGATCGCTTTGAGGAAAGGGGTCCTGGTTTGTTGTTTATGTTTATGGTTAGCCGTACTGCAAGGTGAAGCTCCATGTATTTCAGGCGTTGTGTTTGGGAGTCAGTCTGTAGCCAATACCTTGTAACTGAATCAATTTCCCATAGGTTTTACAATTGACTGCAGATAGTGATAAACGAACACTCATTAATATGGCAATCACCCTGAGATTTGTGCAGTGATAGACATATGCATTAGACAATCTGTACAAGGACATTGGGGAGTTAAGATTTTTAGTCACATCAGCAGTATTTCAGCCATGTAATGACTAAAACTAGTTATACATTCAGGATTTTTGTATATTATTATCAAGAATGTAAATAAAAGGACAGTAAAACAAATAGAATATCACAGATATTATTGTGAGGTGAGATGGAGGTGAGGTGAGGTGAAATGGGGTGAGGTGAGGTGAAATGGGGTAAGGTGAGGTCAGATCAGGTCAGGTGAGGTGAAATGGGGTTCAATGTCGTACTTAAGAATATTTCGTTCATATGACGACGTGCATGTGAGTGTATCTGTGGCTGCTTGTACTAGCCCAGACTTAAGCTGGTTTTATAGTGCTAGCCCACTGAGATACCATGCCGCAGTGAAGCATGAATGCCAGTCCTTGTTTTACCCATTAATGCTGAGCCAGGCAGGACCAACAAGTACCCATATTTTAACGTGTTTTGGTATGTGGCCAAGGATCGAACCTCGCGACCCTCCTCTCTCTGGAGGTTAGATATAAATGAAAGACTAGCTTGTAAATCTGAAACTACAGAAAAAGACATATAACATGCTATAGGTCGCCAACAACTGAAGGTAGATCACCATACTAGGAACCATGGGGACTTACGGAACATTCGCTTCCTGCATGGGCCCTAGCTGGATTTACACCATCACTTCATCCATTGATGATTGTGCTTATCTATTTACAAAACATATTCATCAAAATTTTTCAAGCAGTTCAATTTCTATTAAGAAGATCAACAATTATATAACAACTAGCATTATAAAAAGTTCCTTGACTGTTTTCATCCTGAAATATTTTCCTTGTGATGGAATATCAACACAGTCAAGTAGAGCATGCTTGACTATGATTCTTTCATTACAGGGGTTACAAAATGGACCTACCCATGAAGATCCGGGTTAGAATTGATCTTCAGTAACCCATGCTTATTGTAAGAGGCAACTAACAGGATCGGGTGGTCAGGCTCGCTGGCTTGGTTGACACATGTCATCGTATCCCAATTGCGTAGATTGATGTTCATGCTGTTGCACCTTGGATTGTCTGGTCCAGACTCGATTATTTACAGACCGCCGCCATAAAGCTGGAATATTGCTGAGAGCGGCGTAAAATTAAACTCACTCACTCACTACAAAATGGAGCAAAATGTCAATGATATACAGAAGAACTTATAGAACTACTAGTTTTCGAATAGTGAGTGAGTGAGTATGGTTTTACGCCACTATCAGCAATATTCCAGCAATATCACGGCGGGGGACACCGGAAATGGGCTTCACACATTGTACCCATGTGGGGAATCGAACCCGGGTCATCGGTGTGATGAGCAAACGCTTTAACCACTAGGCTACCCCACCGCCCCAGTTTTCGAATAACTGTAGTTAATCTGTCATGGTTCATGTGTATTGCACCCAGTCATTCAGGTGTGGGTGTTCTGTAACTATTCAGACTTATATGTTGAT